ATCACACGAAAGTGTGTAGTAAAAAAAAACAGTTTGTTCTGATATGCTGCCCGAGTTCAAGCGTATCTGAATATGGTATATATTAGCAATTATTCCGTTTACCGTGTTTTAATAAGGTGATGGAGTTTGAGATACCTAGTTTGTGAGGGCTGTAATTTCTTCAGCATATTCAGAGGCAAATCAGGAAGCATTTCTTCAGGAATGCAATCGCGTTGCAGCAAATGAGTGACGAACTACATCTTATTCAGCGACTATACAACACCGAAGCAGATACCCTAAACGATTTGGGTTTGTAATCAGTGTGGTTTGGGAATGATGGCATCGAAAACAGTGTCAAAATAGAAACAATAATTCAGTGTGCCAACTGCATTTGATCATAATGCCATATAATAGAGTTTTTTATTTGGTTATCAACCGGTTAGTCATCCGCTTAATAGACGTTGTTAGCATTGGATCACGTTTTGTGGGTTAAAATTTCACTGGAATATTCATAGTTGACCAATGCAAATGCCAACGGTCTTATGATTAGAATAGTTTTGAGGGTTTCTACTCCAGCAGATAATGATAATGGAAGAAAAAATATACGGAGTGCATACTTAAAACTGACTGGTTAGATGGCCTTTGGCTACTATCACACTAGATAGGTTTTACCTTATCTCGCAATATCAATCTCAGAGAATGAGTGATACCTATCATCTCATCACAAATTCACAAACAAAGCACGATTGTGACTCTTATTCCACGACCGTATGAGGATATTTATTCGCATCCAGACAGGATAGACTGGTGGATGTTGTATGACGACCGGCTTCCATATACGTCCCAAGTGACCTGAAGTTACAATCACTAGGTAATCTGTGTACGAGCGACACTGTTAGGGATCTCATCATACCTCGATTATACGAATACATCGTATCCTGGACACCACACCCATACACTCTTTTTACCCTTAAGTTTTTCGCTAGTTAGGTTATGGGGTGAATTTTCAGAGATTCACTATTTCTCGTGCTAGTTTCAGTTGTGCCAATGAATGAGGAAACGGATTCTGTAGAATGTGTACGCCAACTGAGCAGTTCCACTATTCTCCCTCATATCACATGACGGAAATATACATCTAAAAGCATGCGCGCACAGAACTGCCTATCCTCAGGGGAATATAAAGCTCACCAAAGCTTGATTGGCATCTCCTCGCTTCCTTACTCCCCAATTTTGTTTTTGTTTCATTCTCTCCGAATGGATGCTGCACCTGGTTCAAATATTCATAAATTTTCTGAACGTGGACAATGCGATCTGTTTCTCGTTGTGACGGGTCGACACTCGTGCAGGAAACTACNTTGTTCACATAGTTTGAGTTTCGTGAAACTCATTCGTGTCCTGTTCTAGAATATACTTTCCTCTGCTGAGTCTATTCACACCCTCGTTAAAACGATCATGGATGTGATCGATTTTCAAGGTCAGTGAGGCTTTTGATGTTCCCTAGCTAGTGAGTGGAAAAAGCTGTGCGGACAGTGATGATCTGGAGACTTTTCAACCAAACTTCACCTCCTCCCTCCAAGTGTTGTACTACATTGTTTCAACACATCCCAGCCTGTTCGCATCAGTCCAGTTTAAAAAGCTCGGTTGATGATAGGGAAGTAAAGAACAACATGCCCAACGAATGCCTGCTTAAAATGAGCAGAACACGGTGTGGTTGTATTGTGTACATCTGTGATCCGGCGAGCTTTGGTCGGTAATTATAATTGCTCTCCTGCTTGATGGTTATACTCCGTAACAGTACCTATCCATAAAATGCCAATTGGTGAGTAAACTAAAAGGCATTCCATAGTGTATCGGTTGTCACGCAGGATAATCAGGACTACCCCTGACCATTGCATCGAGCAGAGTAGGTAGGGGTAAGCTGATTACTGCTCGGATATTACCGTTTTTGTACTATTCTTTGTCTAGTATACCCAAACCGCTACCTTTCCTTCCGACCCGCAACATTTACTCAGACAACTTGTTTCTTGTTCGCCAAAGCTCGTTTCAGGAAGGCATTGTAAATAAGGCTCCGAAATCCACCGCAGATTCTCAATCTTCACTTTCTGAAACTGGGGACTTCAACGCAAGGACACTGGTGCGAGTGGATCCACAAGCGGGTTTGGTGCGTTTGCTGAACTCCGGAACTTATGTCTGCTGTTTATCGGGGCACAATTCCAGGTTTCTGGTGGTATACGTCACTTAGGTGCACCTGATCGGTCCTCGAGGTACTTCCTATGCAACCCCTTTCAGTAGGGAATCACAGAATGACTGTTGTACTAAATAATAAAGTAAAAACCCTACCTGTTGATTGATGTCTCATCAACAGTCGTTTGCGTGGAATGCGGCTTCGTTACTCAAACAGCGTCCTAAAGAAATACAATCAAAGGGTCTCAGCATATTCGCCGATGTTCAAAGGGACCTATTATACGACAAACCCACCAAACTCATTCGACTGAGCCGATACAGTTTTGATGGGAGGCAAATTAAGTGCACAGGTCGGAAAATCGCGCACATCGGAAGTCTCTCTAAGAGGGTTTTGTGCTCAGCTCTGCCAGCGAACGAATACCGACGCTAGACTTCATCAGTTCTGCGCGGATCGACTTCTTTTTCTATTCATTGCCAACTTTTGACGCAGTTCTCGATGAGGGACAACGTGATTCTTCCGTGCGACTGTCAAGGAAACCCAAACTGACCACATCGAAGTAAGTTGTCGTTACTGTGCTCACTAGTACGTGGTTGGTTCATTTGTACCGCCCCCGTGTAGTCCGATCACGCATTGGTCTCGACGCCGTTCGCGCCTCTTCCCATTGATTGTTGACAAAATCAACAAATTCGGTCAGCCCATCTTAGTCGGAGTGACACATCTGGTTGCGCCGGTGATCAAAAGTAGTTCGTGGAATGGAAGTAACCGCTGCATCGGGATCAATCACAGATTTTTTTTCGCCTCATACGCATACCGGTCAGGGAGACGATATGCCACAAAAGTGGACCAGACATCTACAAAACGGAGCAGCTGGCGGGTTCATTTCGACGGTCACATCTGAAGCTCCGTGGATGATAAAATGTGAACCCTCAATAGAACTGGACGTACGATGTTGCGCTCAATTGCTCAAGAAAAGAAAGGTTGATGACTCCATTCTTTTCACGATTAGCATAATTCCCTTGTTGACTCGATTGCAAGTTTGCTCGGCAATAATTGGTCGGAAGAGCATATTACTCTGAAGCGAAGCATCGTTTCGTTTCACTCTTCAAGATGGGATCACACAAGGATTATTCCAACCTCCATGGTAAAAGTTTAGTTCAGTTGGTCACCAGTGTTATCTTCTGTGAAACTTCGCTGCCTGATACTCTTAAGAGGAACAAAAAAATTGTGAGTAGCAAGCAGGACTTCGACCAGATCGCTGTCGCATGTATCATATCTTCACGTTGCACCGAGCCCTCCAGTAACATCGGTCACATCTTCCATCAACGAAAGTGGTGTTCCTTGACCAATCAAACCTAATGGGTTTGCTTCTTCACAAAGGAATATGTNGATGGTTATTAACCTATTAAAGTCACTGTACCCATAAACGTCTGCGTGTGTAAGGATATGCGGTGAGCTAAGTAACGCGTTCTATACCAAAAACAGTGTCCTTCAACGATGCCTAATTTCACCATTCCTGTTTAAAAATACTGGAGAACGCACTGAGTGCTCTTCAAAATGGTGGTATTGAATAGACAACTGGAAAAATGCTCTAAAATACTCTGACGATTTCAGACGCGCAAAACGTGCTTGACAAGCTGACAAGTCCTGTTATTCCGGTATGCGCTTTGCATCTTCAAAGCGCAAATTCATACCGCTTTGATTCTGGATAGTCGGGATATTTATGCAATGCATTGTTTCTCATACCCGAGCATCTGCCTTAAGAATGGCGGTAACACGCAGTCCGGCAGGTAATCGCACGTATTTCCTAGGTTTCAAACGATTATGTAGCACTGAAACACCTTTATGTCATGTCATGTCATGTCAATTATATGCTTTATTCCCCCTGAAAGGTTAATATTCAGCAACCACCTAATCAAAGTAGAACCAATAAGCAAGCAAAAAATTACATCAAAATTGTGGAAATCAAGGGCAAAACAAGACAATTGATAATGTGATTGACAAATCATGTTGTATTCGAGAGTTGGTTATTATTCTTCGGTATTGTCATTTCTTAATAGGATTTTATGGTCGCTTCTTTCCTTTGATCCACGTTCCTCCTCATACAATTATTGATAAGCGCATGCGCGCATTACACATTCACAGTTTCCATCTTTTTATTCTATACACTCTGTGCTGCTCGTCACGGCTCCTCGGAGTGCAGCGTGATTTGTCTGTCTGAACAGTTCAGCCTTATTGTGGCCTGTGCCATGAGCAACACCGAATGGTTCAGTCCAATCTGGCTTTCAAGTGAGATCCATTTAGGAATGTTTCATGTTTGATGATCGAAATCTCGATCTGTTTTCATTCCGTTGGCGAAGAAGTGTTTATGGGGAAGGTGGGAAACTGCGTAATTTACGAAGCACTCGGTTGGATGTAAATGATTTGCGCTCCAGTGTTCTTCAATGATATTCCGTCTCCTCTATAGTTCACTTCGTTCTTTTTTTACCACTTCAGGAGCCCGTGCATGATCACTAGTGCTTTGATCACGCTCAATCGATCGCCTCAAAGTTTCTTTGTCCATCTGCTGCATTTAAGGAATCGGGTTTATCATTTTCTGTTTCACAAATAACAGAGTTCAGTTAGCGTGCTAAACATGTGAGATCCAGTCACTTACTGTAGTTGTCAAAAAAGGTTCAACTTCATCTGTTGTTACTTTAACATGTAAATGTTTGCAATTGATTAAAATGATATGAATAGACTGGAGATTGTCGATATGGCAGTTACCCCTTTTTTGACGAGAGGGCTTTTGATAAGCCCTGTATGCACGGGAGATCTGCATAAACTTTTCCATTGTGTAATGTCTGATTGTCAACGATTCTGTTTCTTGGTTTGCCCTTTCGCCTCGGCGTTCTGCGATACAGATGACGGAATCTTGCGATTCTATTTGCGTGGACGTGCGATCAATGTGTATTTACCCTCGGCTGTTATGTCACACTACGATCTGAACACTCCGATACCGCCACCGGAAGCTACATTGAAACTAGAATGGACGTATCCTTTTTATATGATGCTCAACTTAGATGAGCATTTCTTGTTCAGATTGATCATCTTGTGGCTTTTTGTTCCCCAACCCTCTTCAAAAATCTCTATTTTGATCGTCGCTTTGTTTTCTTCACCGACTTGCCCTTTCGCAACCCAGCATGATCGACAATGATTGGATTAGGATGTCGCAGCTACTTGATCGTTTGCTGAAGTTTCGAGACAGCCACGTTTGAAGCGTCTTTTTGCATATAGGTATATGCGTGCACGTATGGATTATGCAGCTACTTAATTGGGTGTGTGTGTGGGG